TTCTAAAATGAGACCGAACCACTTTGGGATCATCGGTCCAACGCGAAAAATGTTTTTTTTTATAAAGCTATAAAAGTTTTATTCTGCATTAAATTTGTTAAAAATGAAAAAGTTAAATTACCAAATATTTTAATCATATGCATCAAATCATTTTTATCATATTTTGTTCATGTACAAGTACATTAACTGAAAAGCCATGCATAGTAAACTTTTATCTTCTTTAGTCGGTCTTCGGTCAAACCGGACCAGATCATCGGATCGTCTCGCCGGACCCAAGAATCAGATGAGACCAAAATGGACCTGAACGAACCACCGTCGGTCCGACCGGTTTCTTACGAATAAAATTTGGTTAGTCGCTTTATAAATTAGTTAAATCATGATTTTCAGCAATATACTAATTACAAATAAGAGATTTTATACAAAATTAGAGATATAAAGGGGTAGAGACGACTTGCATTACCTGTCACATCGCATTTTGATCGACTAGACTAGGATCAAATACTTTTTATACACTTTTCTCTAAACAATTTTTCTTTATTTTTGGGGGCTTTCGATTAGAATTCACGAACAACTAGTCAGATCGGTAAGATAAAACAAAAATTAGGTGTAGCAATATAATCTCAATACGACAAGAGAAAATAAGATATACACATTTTTTTTAAACCAGTTGATTGCATATTTATAATTTTTTTCTAAAATGTATAAACATAATCAAAAATTCAATAAAAAAATCAAACATTAATAAGTAAAAGAATTAAATTTTAGTAAAATAATTTTAAATCGTTTCATAAAATAATATATAAATTTATTGCATAAATAGTTTAATAACTTGCACCATTTGCGACAAAACTGAATATATTTATTTTTACATCTCAAATTGAATCTATCGGGTAAAATCTTTAATGCCATCCCAATCATAAAAAGGTAGAATATATAATATACACCAGGTTGAAATATGTATTCTCGTAATTACACGAAGTTATAAATATTAAATTATAAAAACTGGTAAATATGCACCCCCTTTTTCTGCGAAATTAGGAACGATAAAACTCAAACCTATTCCATTAAATCTCTTCCCATAATTTGATTATAGGAGACGATTAAGCATTATCAAGTGATATTTTTTTAAAAAAATAAACCTATAAATGTCCTGATAAAATTTGTGTCATATATGTAACCGCCGCATCGCACACCCAGAATTAAAATGGGAATGAATGAGCTTAAAGATTATATACCATCTTAATTAAACTGAAAGGCAAAGTTTCTGTATGACTTAATGAGTATTTTTTTTAAAAAAATTGGAACAACCGTTAATGAGAATAATTTATTTCCTCCATTTCTAATAATAGCTCACTTTACCGAGTTTAAAAAAATTCCTTATCTTAATTGGTGAAAAGTATTGTAAAAATTATTCTTAAATACACAAAAAAAAATTACACAAAGGTTTTCTCCATTTTGGTGACCATATGCTTTCTGGCTCAACTTTCAATATATTCATGCAAAGCCATGTCTCTAGCTGAATCAGAATCAAATTCTTTGGATATGAACGCAAATAGTATTTCAAGGATTATTAGGGCAGTGAAAGCTACACAGAAAAAAGCTGTCGCGGCAGGTCCAGTTTTAGGTGTCAGAGGAGCCAGCTCAACTAATGTCCGTCGTACTTATTATTAGTTACCTTTCGAAAAATTAATAACGATTAAAATAGCACTTTATTTTTATAATATCATAAGGTATAAAATTTTGAATTAGATGTATAAATAACTTTAGAATTAAATTTAATTATTATAATGAATATGTATTACCTAAAAAATTTATATATATCTTAGAACATTTTCATAATAAATATTTTAATCATTCTGCTATAGTATATTTCATAAATTTTATAAAAGAAAAGAATTAAAATATAATTTCAACAAATCGAGGTAACTTTATAAAAGAAAATTATTATTTTTCAAAGCAATTTTAGAGACACTAATTTTTTTAATTAGAGTAAATATGTTTCTAAGAAAGCAAACTATATTACTCAAGATTGGTCAATAATAAGTAATTGATTCCAGTGATTACACTAAAATTTCGTTTTGCTATTAAATTCTAATTAATTCTTATTTTTTATTAAGGGAATTAGTAACTATAATTAACGATATTTTTCGAGCCTATAATTAGTAATTAGCAGTTATAATCTTTTCTTAAATAAGGTTGGTCAATAATATGTAATTGATTCCACTGATTACACTAAAATTTCGTTTTGCTATTAAATTCTAATTAATTCTTATTTTTTATTAAGGGAATTAGTAACTATAATTAATTATATTTTTCGAGCCTATAATTAGTAATTAGCAGTTATAATCTTTTCTTAAATATTTTTAAAAATGCTTAATAATCGAAATCTTTTTTGAATTTCCAAAGATTGATAATTGCAATCTTGGGTGTAGACTGTTTTATATGCCCAGCCCCTTTTAAATTTGTCAACAGACGTTTAAGTAATATATCTAGGACTATTATGCGTACAATTATGTGCGGCTTTCCCATAAAAGTGTGAAATGTGATTGGCTCCTCAATTTTTTTTCTTTCCATATAAATTGAAAAATCTAGTTCGTTCGATGGATTATGAGGGAAACTTAACGTAGCTCTATTCCTTTTCAACACTGACTTAGCGCTGAAATCATGTATCACGATAATTACAATCCTTAATTTATATTTATAAAGAGGACAATATGTGATTCTTAATCTATAAATTTTACTTTGGACTGAAAATCACAAATTTGTGTAAAAAATATTTTTGATTTCACTCCTTTAAAAAAATCTATTATATCATTGATCTTCAAAATAAAAGTTTCTCATTATTTTTCATAAATTTTAATATTACTAATTATGATAAAATTTATAAAAACAATTGGTAATTATAATTAATTGCAAAAATTTCTATGTAATTATGGTTAGGAATTAACTTTTATGCCCATCACTAATATTTCTACATAAGTTATTCATACAAACAGGCACACGTACGCAGGAATTTGGTACTCAAATTTATAAAAATTATTATAGAAGTCATTCAAGAATAATTATCATAAATTAAGATTTGCTTGGGTTACATTTTAAAAACAAATTGAACATTATTTATCCAAAGAAATTATCGGGAGGCAAATATTTTTATCTTTCAATACCTCAATTATTCCTAAATTATTTATAAATGTATCCCATAAATTTATAGGAATGACAACATCATATCATAACGACATTCAAAAAATAATATAAAAATAGAATAATTGGATTTGAAATGTATAGAATGAGTTATAACTTTATAGAAAAATATTATAAATTATTTAAAGGTTATTATTAACCCCTACAGAATTTATTAATTTTTGTTGGTTCACGATTAATCGTAAGGTTATATTATCATATATCATATATTATATATCTTCTAAATTATCACTATAAATTTCTTCAGAAAATTAAAAATGATAGGATCCAAGATATATACAGTAAAAAAAAAATTAACATCTTATTACATATACTATTTTTTATTTTTTTTTAAGTTTTATATTCATGATATTATAATAGCATGTTATTTTAAAAAGCAATCAATAAATGCTTATTGCCGTAGTCAATATACGTAATACAAAATTGTATGAAATGTAGCACAAGCTTTATTACGATTAAGGCTAAATCCTATTTTTATTAGTGGCCACTATTGCTTTTTTATATTACTGTTCTTCGAGGGCTGGCCCGACCCCCCTCCCTGGGGTATCAATTTACTTTGGTCTTAGGTGTGCCTAATTTTTGAAAATATTTTTAAAAAAATTTCAGACCGGGTTTTTTCGAGCCTGGATTAATGATATTTAAATCAGATGAAGATCTCCAGTTTTAACGATATAGACATTGTTTATCACATCCTAGGCAAATTTAGAAAAAAAGGGTTGATGCAAAACCTTGATTTTTATAGCCAATTTAAAGAAATATTAAGATTTTAGCCAAAAAATATTATCTCAACCTCACCATTTCTCATATTTTGTTCAAATTTCACGAGGGTAGATTATTTTATTTGAATAAAATCTTGGGTATAAGTTATTTTTAAAAAATTGAACGAATCGAGGAATAGAATTTTGATTATAAAAATCAGAATAAACAGTTGAGCGATGACTGCGTGCACAAAAGATCCCGCTTTCCCTGATAAATCATACACTTCCCTCAGTCTTAACAATTTTCATTTAATAAATTTTTATGGGTCCGACTAGAATTCTCGAAAAAATGGTTAGTAAAATGAAATATTGGAGAGTAGAAGACCTAATCTTTGTAAAATGAGATCGATTTATAGAGATTAATACACAAGATCGAGATCTATAAATAATGTCTAACAATCTTTTATAGGATAAAAACAATGAAGGATGGATTTATTTTGATTTGGTTTTAATTATTAACCAAGGGAATAGCTTGAGGATACTCGTGACCATAGTAATTTAGCAGTGAAGATTGACGGTCATATAATTGCATCCTGAAAAGGAGTGCTTCAACACAGCTTGCAATTCTAGGCGTATCCTTCTTTCTGCATATTGGTTTCTGGGTTGAGGGTTTATAGATTCATAATCACTCCATTTGAGCTGATAATTAACTCAATATTTTAAGAATATTGATTGACTTCTCGAGATTTTGTTTAAGATGTACAAAAGCATGAATGAATTGCCAAAATTTAACCAGGAAGAGCCAAATATGAACTCTTTTTAGTGTACCAAATAAGGCGCAAATAGATAAAAATAATTTTAATACGATAATAAAGGTAGAATGAAAAGCGAACGCGAAATATAAGAGAGTGATAATAAAAACTGAGGGAAAAACGAATAAACAATACAATCAATAAGAATCAAATTAAAAAAAATGAGAAAATAGCTCTGATTAATGTATATTAATGAAAAACAAGGCACAAGAAAGGTATTGAAATACATTTTTAATGGTATTTATACCCGAAAAAAATGTAAAAATTACAAATATATAAAGATTATAAGTATAAGTTAAAAATTTTATTTTTCAATATTTTCTGAATAAATATGTGACTAGACAGGCTATATTTTTTTTTAAAAATTATAAATCAGAAAAATAAATAATTATCATTGGTCAAAGTTTATTTTTGAAAATTCAAACATTGCTTAGGAATGGATTTATTTCCTTGTTGTGTTGTTGTGTGACTTTTACAAATCTTTTCCAAAAAAAAAAGACCTTATCATAAAATTATTTTTTAATAAAACTGTATTGAAAATAAATAAAGTTCCTTGTCCAATAATGGACTAAAAAGTACAAGAAAACACGTCTATAAATAAGATACTTTACAAACCATGCTATATCATCAATATATGTGGAAATATATTGTTATTTTGTAGTATATCTATCTAAAAATAAATATATGAACCAGCAATATTGTTGGTACGATGAGATTTAACCAAAAAACATGGATAAAATAAAAAGAAATAGCTTAAGCCTAGCTGAAAAAAAATATATTCTGCACAAACATTAATTAAAAAGGGTTGGGCTTAATAGCAGGGATTATATATGACTTCTCCTAAATTTTATTAATTTATATAGTTTATACTTTTTTCCCATAGTATAAAACATATCTTAATTGGTGAAAAACAACTTTGTATAATTATTTTAAATATTGACGATATACAGACTTTAGTCATATTCGTAGCCTTATGCTTTCTGGTCCAACTTTCAATATCTCCATGCAACGCTATATCTCTAGCTGAACCTTGCCAATCAAATTCTTTGGATATGAACGAAAATGTTATCTCCAGGAAAACCAGAAGGGCTAGAGTTACGCACACCAGAACTGTCGCAGCTGGTCCAGTTTTAGGAGTCCGAGGGGGCAGTTCCACTACTATACACCATCATCATTATTATTAGAATTAGTAGTAGTCATTCAACAAATCAATATTGATTAAAATAGCACTATATATTTTTTTAATATTAAGGAATATATACTTTTGTATATTTAGATGAATAAATAAATTTTGATTTAAATTTTAATTTATATGCATTACCCATAACTTAATTTGTTTGAAAATTTGATACAAGTTATATATATATATAAAATTTCCCTGAGACCAATTTCAAACAGAACGTTTTTTTCAAAGCGGTTTATACTATGCATTTTCTCCAATATTTTTTGAAAGTGAGTAGATTGGCAGAAAGAACATGTTTTATCCTAGGCGCTGCTGAATATATTTTAGAATTTTTCCTCAGATGTGATTGTATATTTTGGCCCCACAAAACCGTTAACCATATTTGGAAATGATAATAATTTATCATATTAATGTTAATAAGAACTTATCTTAAATGTACCTCAATTATAAAAGTGATTAAATTGGTTATCTCTTGTAAATATTGCACAGAAATTTGATCCCTAATACAGCGCAAAAAAAGAAGATTATTCAATATGTATGATGGACATTGTTTATTTATATTTATTAGTGCAAGATTCTTTTCCCTCAGATTCTTTTCCCATCATTATAAGTAGTGTTGCTTAAGGCGGGAGCCATTTTTTTCGACATTTTGAGACAAAACTCCGTTTCGTTATTTTTGACCTTTTTCTCTTAAACAAAATGCAAACTTTCACTTTATAATATAAAACTCATGAATTTGTACTGAAAGAATATAAAAAATTAAATTAAAATCAGATGTATCGATCTCGATCTATTTTTAGATCCTTATTGAAGAGAAAACTCATTATAAATACAAAATCGATTTTGTAATTTTATAATTATCATTTTATAAAAATAAATTTATTTAAATTTTTCGGACATATTGATGATTTCCTTGAATTCAAATAGAGAAAACACTTTCACAAAGTATGCTAATTGCCGGAACATAAATAAGTTTTTTTTTAGTTAGCTTGGAAATATTAGGAAGTTTGATCCTTTTTCCTCTCTAGAAATCCTGGATATCCATATCTCGTGAATAATGTTTTCCTAGATGAATATGGCACTATTGTTCTAATAATCACTTAAAGTGGAATCAGAATTCGTACTTATTGTTGAATAAGTTACTAATTTCGTCAAATTTAATATTTTTTCTTGCTCAATCTCTATATTTACTACCCTAATATAATTATACTCTGGTAGTTTAATTTATAATGAATTCTGACACTGAGCCTAGATTATTTTTGAAATTAAAAATAAATTAAATTAAAAGAAAAATATTTATATATAATATTATTTGCAAATCGGAAATCGTAACACAAGTTTGTTTAGATATATTTTTATTTAGGGAAATAATTTCTGAGCTATTACGATTTACTATTAAATTTGTTTTGTTTCAATTTCACTTATAAAAAGTAATGTCAAGTTTAAGGAACTGGTTAATAGTTCTTCTACTAGATCTGATTCACAGTTTAGTTTGAGATAGGTTACCCATTCTTTTCAAAATGCTATTTATTAAATTTTTATTTTCTCCAGATATGCTCTTTAGTACATAATTAACTACTATTCCATCTGGTTGGGATAACATTTAATTTTAACATTTTCATATGAGTGGCATTACTGTTATTATCATCAATGGAATCGTCAATTTTAAAAAGGGGTATCGGGGTATGATCAATGCTAATAATATCTAGTATATCTATTAGATCTATTGTACTTAGGCATTTTCTTTGAAATTCAATCTCTGCAGTTTTATATCTTAAGAATTTTCTACGATAGAATTTAATATCATCCACTAATCTGACTATGTAAACCATGACTCAAGCATAAGTAGTGTTCATCATATTCACCTAATCAAACACCCTTTCTAAAATAGGGTCTCGATTTTAAAAAAAATGTAAAATTGTGGTGTAACTTTTGGAAATTTAAATTTTTGATTGTAAAATTAAAATAAGAATTCATGATATGATTTACATAATAAAATTTGCGAATAAAAATGCATAAAATATGGAAATTATTATTTTTTTACCTCGGCCATGGGCCAGGCGAGATTTACATATGACGGCGTATTCGGTGTAGCCATAGATATTCCGCCAGCCGCGCAGTTCTAAATATATAATTTTTTTAAACACAATGTAGGTTAAAAAAATAGCCTACAATTAATTTTTAATCGAAAGAAAAATATCTATGATTCACCAATACATACCTTCCATAAGTCAAAATATCATCAGAAATATAAGTTATTGTAAATATGAATGACTATTTCATTTTTAATATCTGTTTTTTTGTGATTGATAATCTGTTTTTAAGTTATAAGTCAGAACTACTAGATTGTTTGAAACAAGATAACTAGCCCTTAATTTTTTTAAAAAATAATATTTTTTTAAAAAACAATATTTTTTTGTATAGGAATTATAAATTTATTCAGTTCATTAAGTTAGGATAAGATGATTTATCTGATATAACGTTTAAAATATTATTCAACTACTTAAAAAATATAAAATGATTCAGTTGAGTTTTATTCTATTTTAAGAACAATCGTTGATTTTAATAAAAGTCCAAAACCATACACATTCTTTTTATTTAAGACCTTTTATAAATGTGACACAAATTCACTGATTCCCATCGAATATTTCTAAAAATAAAATTAAACTCAATTTCTAAAGTCAATTTATTTTACATGTATTATAAATAAAAAAATCATAATTACTTAGAGACTTTAGTTCTTGAAAATCTGGGAAATCATAAATATACTTTATAATTTATAACAATTTTAATAATACTTGTTAATTTTCTTTGAGATGAGATCGAAATGGTATAACTTCCAGATATCTTTTAAAAATAAAGATACATTTTTGGGGTGGAGTTGATTGATGCCGCTCTTCTTCTGGCCAATAATTTCCCAAGGATCAAAAAAATAGTCTTATACGATAGCCATCATAATTCATAACTTAAAATTGGGATAGAGATTATTTAATATAAATGATTCGACATTTAGCTTATTTTGTTTAAATGCCTATATACCTGAATGCGAGCAGAAACCCATGAACTTTCATATTCTTGCCAGAGTGGAATTGCACTGATATTGATTGCGACTAATTTGATTTTGATGTTTTTTTAAAGCGAAAGAATTGAAATATTAAAATTGTATTTTCTATTTAAAAAAAGCTAAATAAATGGTTAGGCAAAGTTATTTATATTTTTATAATCTTTTGTTAGTCTATTTAGTTTTTTTCCGATAAAAATTAAATGGATTGAAATATTATTATAATAATAACATTACATTATTTTATAATCCTTCCATAATTCCATAAATATGTATTGTCGAGGATTGAGTTGAATCACATTCTCTAGCAATTATGTTCGTAAGGTTATCTTCCTATATTACAAAGTTGAAATGTTAAATTTGTCATTGCATTTTGTAGAAAAATAAACATATATTTCATAATGGTTTCCTAATTTTTTATATACATTTTCATTATCATATTTTGCATTGTTTATTTACTGCTTTGCATATAATATTATAATCAAGACACTAATTTATGAAATTTTATTCAAACTCAATCGATGTCGATGTTAGATGTAGCTAGAGGATCTATGGGAGAGTATTAATCATAATTCTTGTTGGGATTAATTATATAATACCAGTAGTTAGATACATATACCCAAAGAAGCAATAAATTATAGAATAAAATAATAAAGTCATAAAACGTAACTTTAAAAAAAGATAATAAATTTACAGCAAAAAATATATTATTCAATATCTAAATTGCAGGCGCGTTATGCAGGAATTTGCTGGGGGAATGGGGGTGGGGAGGAGGAGGGTTAAAAATAAATAATATTCTTGTCATTTAAAAATATCTGAAGTTTCATGAATTTATTAGGATTATTGACGATTTTCTTTATTGAGGGAGGTCTTTTTTTTTGTAAGATGAATTCCTTATATACATAATTTAAGAGTAAAAAAAATTGAAATCATTTTACGAAAAATTTAAAAATAGTTGAATAAATATTGTGCCAAAGAAAATTTGAAATCGTAATTAATTTCATAGAATAAATTAGTAAACGAATGTGGATAAATAAATGATATCAAAAATATATTTAATAAGAGATAGGGATGCGGCATCTGCATCTTTTGTTAGGGGAGGGAAGTCGTCCTTCTGCCTCCCACCTTTCTGCTGCAAACGAATGCTAAATTGTTATATCATTATTGTATCTTCATACATATGAAACCACAACACTTTAGTATATATGTTTTTTTTTAAATTCCTAATAATAGTAGTGATGAAATCTGTACCGCTTACTTAGGATATAAATGAAACTAGTGAATACTTTGTATTGTAATGGTCGCCTAGAAATTAAAAATACTATATCTAAAACAATCCTCAAAAAAAAAGATAAAATTATTCTCACCCATCAGTATAAGCATGAGAATATCCAGGATCTTCCTATATGGTTCCCCATAAAATCTTTAAGAGAATTTTTATCCCCAATTTATTTAATTTGGCCTGGTTATATAATTTTAATAAAAAAATATATTGGTTTTCGACCTTTTTTTCTTATAAATGCTATTTTTTCTAAAAACATTACAATTATAAATCAAATTGTCTTATTTTTTTTGTAAACTTTGTAATACAAACTGTCTCGATTAGTTTGCATATAATATGGATGAGAAAAAAAGGAAAAATAACCGGAAACAATTAAATTGTTAACAGGACACCTTTCTGATAATTTCCCTTGTATGAATTCATATAATGCCTTTTCATATTTACAAATTGAATTAGTTGGTATTTAAAAAAAATATTTATATGTTTTCCTCCCATAAGTAAGAGCATAAGGATGGTAACCAAGAGAGTTTAAGGCCTTCCCCTTCAAAAATATTACCTGTTTTCATGCGAATATTTAATAATACAAATTATTCTCTTGCACCCTCCTGCCCCCCCCCTCCCCATTTCCCCCAAAAATATACTCAAATAACGTGAGATACAAACAATAATTTTGAATATATTTGAATGACAAATTTAA